AATTTGGGAACTATCGCCAAGTCCGGCACCAGCGAGTTCCTCAACAAGATGACGGAGATGGAGGGGGATCAGTCCACCTCAGAGCTGATTGGCCAGTTCGGAGTGGGCTTCTACTCGTCTTTCCTCATTGCCGACAAAGTCATTGTGACATCCAAACACAACAATGACACGCAGCACATCTGGGAGTCTGACTCTAACACGTTCTCTGTCATCGAGGATCCCCGTGGGGACACACTGGGCAGAGGAAGCACAGTCACGTGAGTTTACGTTTGATTTTTAATCATCTTAAAATCACCTTTACGGCCCGTCCATACAGCGGCGTGCGTTGAAGCTTGCCGGAAAACTCGACCAACAACCAATCGCATGAATCTCCCGCCCCTGACACACAAGCAGCGGTTTGATTGGCTAGAGCTTGTACTGGCACATGATTCGATTGGCTGACGCTTCTGCCGAGGCTTCAAAAGTTGAACATTGCTCAACTTTTGCAGCGAGCTACGCCAGCAAAGCTCCGCGTCGCTTCCCACAATGCAGTTCGGCGAAAAGTGCCGTCACCCCATTCAAAGTGAATGGTGAAGCTTTCAACGCACGCCGCTGTGTGGACGGGCCGTTAGCATTTCTAAGCATTATGATTAACTGCTGTTAGGCATATTGATGTTCACAGCTCTTCCAGAATACCGAAGCACCTTCTCAGTTGGATCTTAAAAGCTGTTTTTCTGTTAGTAATATTGACGTTGAAATGAAATCCTCCAAAATCTTCTTCTTACCACAGGCTGGTCCTGAAGGAGGAGGCCTCAGACTATCTGGAGCTGGAGACCATCAAGAACCTCGTTAAGAAATACTCTCAGTTCATCAACTTCCCCATCTACGTTTGGGCCAGCAAGGTGAGTACTTTAGACGCTTCCTCCTACACTGTGACTCAGACGTGTTTCCACAGTTACATTGTGAAACTGCCAAAATGTGAACATGAACAAATAGCCGTTACATCACTTCTTCCTCTCAAAATGCCAGACTGAGACAGTTGAAGAGCCAATTGAAGAAGATGCTGAGGCAGCAGAGGAACCAGAGAAAGAGGCGGCTGAGGACGATGTCGAGGTAGAGGAAGAGGAGGAGGACAAAGAGAAGCCCAAGACCAAGAAGGTAGGAAGTTCATCAGTGTGGCTGATAAGCTCTTATGTCTTTTTTTAATAACAACTTTCCCTAAAATAATCCAACAATATTCTTTTTTAAATCTGTATTTTAAGGAATGATATTGAAACAGGGAATTCAAAAATATATATTTTAAGATGTAATGACAAAGAATTAACTACATCTTATTCAAGATGTTGTAATGTATTTAAAAAAAAAACATCTGAAGCTGTGAAAGATTTTGATGTACTTACTTTAAACTATAATACTTCCTGATGTATTTATTGTTTTTATTATTTTTATAGGAAGGCAGTTAAAAGTGACTTGATGATGTTTTACTGAAAGTTTATGCGATGTCATTTTAATACCTCAATATTCAGCCTGATTGTTTGGAAAGGAACACTATTTGAACATGTCTCATGGTGTTTGTCACAGGTTGAGAAGACGGTGTGGGACTGGGAGCTGATGAACGACATCAAGCCCATCTGGCAGAGACAGGCCAAGGAGGTTGAGGAGGAAGAGTACACGGCTTTCTACAAGACCTTCTCTAAGGTAGGCCCTTTGACATCCATCCATGTGGATTGAGAGCTCAAATTGTCTTGATTTTCTTCATTCAATGAATTCGAACTCTTTCCCCCTCTCACAGGACACAGAAAACCCTCTGGCCCACATCCACTTCACGGCTGAGGGTGAGGTTACCTTCAGGTCCATCCTGTTTGTTCCCACCGCTGCTCCCCGCGGAATGTTTGACGAGTACGGCTCCAAGAAGAACGACTACATCAAGGTATTTTCCCTCAGGCATCAAAGGATGGTTCTTTATGCATGAATTCCTGCAACAAATGGTTTCTAAATGAATGTCTATTCTGTCTCAGCTGTTTGTGAGGAGAGTCTTCATCACTGACGACTTCAACGACATGATGCCCAAGTACCTGAACTTCGTCAAGGGAGTGGTGAGTGACTCTAACCCCAGTGCAGACCCCGACATGTGATAATGTGGAATGTTTGAACTCTCCTAGATGGTATCGGCTCTGGGATTAATGGAAATGTATTCTTTCTCTAGGTTGACTCTGATGACCTTCCTCTGAACGTGTCAAGAGAGACTCTGCAGCAGCACAAACTGCTCAAGGTGAGTTTCACATATTGCATTTATTTTATTTATAAGGATCCCTTTTGAGTGTTCAATTTTATTAACCTTGTACTCTGTAATATTTGTAGAATTTACTGACTGGTTTATAAAAGCTTTTTTTTTTTTTTAAATAAAAGATTGATAAAGGAGCATCAGAATCAGGAATTGTTTCAAAAGAGAATGAGATGTAAATACAGTTATAAGATAAAGAGGGTTAGGAATACTGAATTCAACATTCATTGTAATCTCATCTCCTCCGTGTTCAGGTTATCCGCAAGAAGCTGGTGCGTAAGACTTTGGACATGATCAAGAAGATCGCCGAGGTGCATTACAACGAGAAGTTCTGGAAGGAGTTTGGAACCAACATCAAGCTGGGCGTGATCGAGGATCACTCCAACAGGACCCGTCTGGCCAAGCTGCTGCGCTTCCAGACCTCCAACAGCGACACCGAGGTGGCCAGCCTGGAGCAGTATGTGGAGCGCATGAAGGAGAAGCAGGACAAGATCTACTTCATGGCCGGGACCAGCAGGAGAGAGGTGAGTGACTCAAGGTTCAAGGCTTTCAAGTGTGCATAGCTACAGTGGAGTTATGACAATGAACATCTTAAGTCACAGGCTCCTCCGACAGTGCAACACAATAACACAGATACAATAGTACAAGTAAATACAAATAAGTCAAATGTAATGGCTTGGCGTTAAACATCTGTTTCCCTCTGCAGGCGGAGTCTTCTCCCTTCGTAGAGAGGCTGCTGAAGAAGGGCTACGAGGTGATCTACCTGACGGAGCCTGTGGATGAGTACTGCATCCAGGCGCTGCCCGAGTACGACGGGAAGCGCTTCCAGAACGTCGCCAAGGAGGGTATCAAGTTCGACGAGAGTGACAAGACCAAGGAGAAGAGGGAGGCCCTGGAGAAGGAGTTTGAGCCTCTCACCACCTGGCTGAAGGACAAGCCTCTGAAGGACAAGGTAGAGGATTAGATTCAAGGCTTTATGTTATTTGCACATTAGCTACAGTGTAGATATGGCAATGGAAAACATAGGTCACAGGCTCTTATTATTTGTGTAATATTCATGACATGAGAAATGAACCACCAGCCGCTGAGGCGATAAAATGTTTTAAGTTGCGTCTGCTCCATCTGTTATGTTATCCAATACGATGTGATCTCTCCTACAGATTGAGAAGGCCATCATCTCCCAGAGGCTGACCAACTCCCCCTGCGCTCTGGTAGCCAGTCAGTACGGCTGGTCTGGAAACATGGAGAGGATCATGAAGGCACAGGCTTACCAGACAGGAAAAGACATTTCCACAAAGTGAGTAACGACCCTGTGCTCTTCAGCTATGTTTAACGCCCTTTGTCACAGTTCTATAAACAAATGTGAAGCATGTTGTGAACTAAGCTTATTTTCTGTTCTTCAGCTATTATGCGAGCCAGAAGAAAACATTAGAAATCAACCCCAAACATCCCCTCGTCAAGCAGATGCTCAACAAAGTCAATGTAAGTCTGACTCATATCACTCACTATTGTAACGATGCCTAATTTCATTTTTAAATGATAACGATTTTTGCAGAAGAATGATGTCCATACAGCCAACCTCTTGTATTATTAGCAGACAAACTGATCAGGTTTTCCCCCTCAGGAGGACGCTGAGGACCAGACGGCGTCAGATCTGGCTGTGGTTCTGTTTGAGACGGCCACGCTGCGCTCAGGATACCAACTGGCCGACACCAAGGCCTACGGAGAGAGGATAGAGCGCATGCTGCGACTCAGCATGAACGTTCCCCTGGACGAACAGGCAAGTCGTAGCTGCTTATGAGACATTTGCGTATTAAAGTTCTCCTTTTTCACTTTGCATATGTCGAGTCACATTTCCTGTTCAGCAGCCAGTGAGCTCTGACCTACAACTGCATTTGAGATGGTTCCACTTTTTTTTTTTTAGTATTTCATATCTGTAAAAATCTGTCGGCCTTTCTTCCTGGCAGACCGTTTTATATTAATGTTATTAATTGACAGATTGAAGAAGAGCCAGAGGAGGAGCCAGAAGAGCCAGCAGAGGATGATGCTGAAGATGACGCTGAAGAGAAAGAGGAAATTATGGATGACGATGATGAAGAAACGGTATGAACACTTCACGTTCTGAGGCATCTTAAAGATGTCAAGAAATGGGATGCCATGTGTTTGTTGTTCTGACCGTCTCCTCATGACTTTCATTTTGTTCCCTTGCAGATAACATCGGACAAAGACGAGCTGTGAAGCACTGAAGAGAAGAGCATGTAACAACTGAGCTGGAAACGGATTTACTTCTTGTTCCAGCGCCACAGTGGTCGGTGTTATTCTGGGTGGGGTCCTAGGGTTGGGGTTTTTTAAGGCGAGCATTGTTTTTTTTTGTTTTTGTTTTTTATTACATTCCTCATGACTGTAAATTTGTTAATATTTAACTGACCTGTTTATGGAAAGAAGCGATCCTGTCTCTTGATCGAATAAATGTTTCCTGGAAAAAGGACACATGGTTTCTGTTTGGTGATTTTACAAATGCACTACGACAATCGATGTTAGCTTCTTTGACGGATACAAATGTCTGTCCAAGAGCAGTTAGTTTGCCTTACAGATCAAATCATAAACTTAGATTGTAATAATGCAGAACAATTAATGAATATGCCAAGGAAAAACTGACAGTGTTGAAAGATGGAAAAGCCTTNGTGTCGAGGAAGCATGTCGATGCCGCAGCTGAGAGGTGTGATGTAAGAGACGATCACACTGAAGCGCTGGAATGACAGCAGCATGAGACGCCCCCCCCCCCCTGTGTGTGGTGGCATGGCCCCCCCGAGCAGAGCGGCATGCAAGCATCAGCGAGGCCCCGGTCAATCAAGCCGCTGTTTGGTCCCGTTACCTCCTCCAGTGAGTTGATCTGCCCGTTTTGTTTGTAGCGCATATAGACATTAGTGCCTCGAATCTTCGCAGCACGGATTCTAGCAAGCCGAGATTTCTGTTTGAACAAACAGACCTCTGTTTTAGCCTCTGACGGTTTCTCTGTCAGGCTAATTGATGCTGTCTCCCTCCGGCAGCCACAGTATTTAGTAGGGAGAGGCCATGCTTAACTCAACCATTAGGAAATTCTGCCATGGCAAACACTTTGAGAAAGAAATGCACATATTGCTATTGAAAAGCTGCTGACACTATACTCCGAAGATCATTTGTTCAGTCATTGTCATTCCATCTCTTATTTCTTTCTCCTACTGACTCAAGGAAGTTGAGCCCATCCAACACACACATACACAGAAACACAATAACAGATTAATATTCTGGAAGATAGTGTTGGCCCTGTCATTCTGTTACTTGTGGATAAGGCAGGGACAGAGGATAAAGGCAGATAGAAGCAGAATAAAGACAGATAGGGAGAAAAAGGAAGGAGAGGGAGGGGGAGTGTCAGTACCCTCTGGGCTCGTCGCTTCTCCGCCCGCTGGCTTTGGTGATAGATCCGGCTGAAGTTTGACACGATGACAGGGACAGGCAGGGCGATGACCAGCACACCACTCAGAGAGCATATGGACCCAAACACCTTGCCCACGATTGTTTTTGGCACCATGTCCCCGTACCTGAAACACAGGAAACAGAACAGTGAGCACACCGGGTGAAAAAACAAGACAAAATAATATATTCCTTTGAAAGAATCTGCTTTCGAGGTTTGTTTCATCACGTTACGTCGTTGTTTGTTTGATGTTATTTATAAAAGTCTTGAAATAGTCACAGTGACCTTGGAATATTTCAAATACGAAGTCACACATTTGAAGTTGGTGAGGAATAAATAGGACTGCTCTGAAGTCGGTTTTTTCTTGGCCTACTTTCTGCATGCCATCTTGATGTTGCTCTTTTAAAACCCTGTTTCATATATAATTACACACCTGCTGGCACCGACTAATGCTTTGACATCACGACCAAATGCGCTACATATCCCCGGTGACCTCTGTTAGCCAAACAGCTTGTGAAAGATACGGGAGTAGTATCACATCAAGTAAAAGCAAAAGGGGAAGGGAACAGTGTGATGCAGAGCCCTAGAGAAATGTGTGTGTGGGCCTCAGCCACTGGTGTGTTTTGTTCTCCTTCCCACATCAAAATGGACTTGAATACTAAATGCAGACACAAAGTGAAAACACATTAAAACAGTTCATGTTTGAGATAAAGCGAAAAGCATCTCTCTGTGCTGCGACATTGATCTGATCTATGCATTACATTTTGGGACATTTTACACATGTTGAACAGGCTACATTCAGCATGAGCAGATTAATGGTTGTACATATGTCAGGTGGGTCTGAATCCTCCCCATTAAAGAGATTAATGTACTATCCTATAAGCCTGTCTGCGCTCAAGGTAAAGCAAAAATCAAACTGTCTGCATGATCTCACTTTCTTTACATTTTCCGACACATCCAAGGCCACTTACTTGAGACTAAGAATCATTTAGCTGTTTTAATTGTTTCAATCAATTCATTAAAAGGATTCTTTGTGATTAAAAATAAACTTGACTTTGAGTTTGCACTCTTGAAATTGCTGCTCGTTCAACACTATTTGTTCAAACACTGTTCAAACTGACGTGACGTTCCGCACTAATATTCATGTTACTGCTTCAACAAATGCTTTCAATTCACTACAAAACCAGACGATACACTGACACGAGACACTGTTAGGGTAAGGGTAATGTGTCCGTGACGAACAAGGTTATCTTATTATGGTTGTAACTGAGGATTTGTGGTCTTTAATGATGAAATAACATACCATAGTAAGGGAATTTATACTGCTAAAAGATTCAGATGTATTTCTGTATTTAAAGTGGACATATCATGCTATATTTGAATAATATAGTGTAGGACCATACCTATATAAGGCATGTTTATACTTTTTATTTTTCAAAATACCAAACAGATCATGCATTTTAGCCATTCCTCATTTTGCTCAATTTAACACTTTCTTTGCATGGGCTGATTCTGTGAGAACAGCACCATCTACAGGCCTGGCATATGTACTACATCGTCTAGAGCGCTTTCGAACGGCAATGTCTCCTCCTGATTGGTGGAGTTGGCCCAATAGCCGTAGCGCCACTTCTGTGACATCACAGAAGTGTTCAAATCTGGATCAGTCTGTATCAGATCCGTTGCAGCCCCTTTTTAAGAGATTTGGGTATGGAGGAAAATAGAGAGGGTTGTGTTTCCTGAAACTTGGTGAGTTCCCTGGAACACCGGGGACACATATTCATGTATAAAAGACCTACAAAAGTGCATTTTGCATGATAGTTCACCTTTAAGATTTGTTAGGGCATGTTCTTAACACCAAATGACTAGCTATGAAGACTATAATTCGGACAGATTTAGCCATCCTGTTGCCACACAGAGGTGAACATTATTTAACAGCATGAAATGTTCAGGTAAAACCCCTGATTTCCTCCAAGCACACATCTACAAATTACACCCACCAATCATTTTAACATGACCTGCTTGTGCATAAATAGCCTTCTGCAGACACTTTTGGCCACATGGAGCACTGGGAGTAGAAAAAGAGAGCAAATAAATGATTCAGAGCATGTATGTTTTCCTTGTCTTCTAAACATCACTCAGTGTGCTGCAGCAGAAGACCAGCAGGATTGCAGGTGGGTTAGATGAATGATCGAGATCCTTAATGCGCAAATGACCTGAGAAGACCATTACCTCCTGAGAGTAAGATGAATGCAGGTAAAGGACATCAGCATTGCTCAGTGGCTGTGACAGCCGCGCGTCTCTCAAGTGAGGCGGGGTAATGTGAATGTATCGCTACACGGGAGGTTGACTATTTCATAAATGAAGTTGTCTAATGCCCACAGCCGTCTGCTTGAGTCATTAGCCTCAGGTTTCCATCACGTTGGTCCAACAGCCGGGGCTTTTACAGAGCTTGGGCGGAAAGATGTAAAAGTGGACATTTTAATATCACGCTCGATGGGACTTCATGTACAACAGTTTGCTTTCAAGTTGAGTAATCTCACACAGATGTCATTAGTTTTCCAGATCATTACGGGTCAAGTCATTTCCCTATGTAATCACTGGCAAAGCCTAACAGCAGGTGTCAATTATAAATTCCTGATGTTCTGTTAAGAGGCCTATTAAGGAATCCATATGAAAAATGCAAGAAAGCTTTCTCTCACATAATGTGACTCTCTAACCTGTTTTATGCCAATGGGAAAATTGGTAGGATGCTGCCTGATACAATGCAATACATCGCAGTGCTTTTTATTGAAAGAATAGGATAGTAGTGGGCAGGTGAAAAAAAAAAGGAAGTAGCAAGCGCCCTCTGGAGAGAAACACTAACAGTGATGGATTGTTCATAAGGGGGAAGCTGAGATACACAAAGCTGTGCCTCCAGGATGACGGCAGTGGGAGGAATTAGCAGCAACGAGAGATTAAAGTAATGTTCCTGCTTTGTTCTTGTTGTCTCTGACTACCAGGTACCCACGTTTCCTAGCCCGAACTGACATGGGTGAGACACGAAGATGGATGGCCAGATCTTTATCCACCCTGCAGAGGAGGAAGAGGATTGTCTGAATGACTGAGTATCAATTCCCCAGTTCCACCCACCTGAAACCATACGGCGCTCGCATTGCACCGCTCTTAAAAACAGCGCATTCTGTGGAATTGTCCTACAGTGAGATGACAGCATTGCAGATGAAGCCCAGCACAGTGTGTTTGTGTGTGTGAGAGAGAGAGAGAGAGAGAGAGAGAGAGAGAGAGAGAGAGAAGGGGAAGTGGGGCTTCATCTCAGACAGTGTGAGAAAAATGTCAGATTAAAAGGTATATTTGAATTCATGAAGCGGGCGATGAATGTCCGGCCCGGCTCGGATAATAGACCAATCAAGCATTCATGAGTCCATATATCAACCTGCGTGGCAGAGTTTGTGCCACTGACCTACGAAGTGGTGTGGTATTTCATCAGGGGTGATCTGAGACAGATTTCTGAACATGACCTCTTCGCCACACAGCGAGCACGACACCTGGAAACATGGAGATGCCCGACACATAGGAACACACACGATCAAGCAGTCACAGATACATACCCTTGTTTGTTTGATTGTGTGTGAATATGTGCGTGTATGTGTGAAAAGGCCCTTAATTTGACATCTAGTTAAACCAATCCCTCTTCCCAAAAAAGCAATCTTGTTCCTTGATTGTCTTCCAGAAGCCTGTGTCTGAAATCTGACTGCCATCTGGTTGGTAGGAAGTGAGAGCAGAAAAAAAGCAGGATATCTGGATGACTTTATAGACACATCATTTGTCTATTTCTCTTCTGAGGGTACGGTCCTTTTCCTTAAATCAAACACAATTATAGGAAATCTTTCCAGGTATAATGAGTCTCAATTGTTTAAAACCTGACCTTTGAACTGCTGCGATCAGAAATCAACCCATCAAAGAGTTTGGGGGGTTGGCAGGAGAGAGGCATCACTTACAAAAACCCCTCCTTTAACTGAGCACAGGCTTAGGTTTTCGATGTAATCACGGGGGTCTAAAGTAAGTCCTGCTGTCCCACAGACTCACACTGCAGTATAGGGATCACAGCCTAAAGCTTAACCGTGCTGACAATTAGGATCCAAGAGGGATTGTGACAGATCTTTTAGCTGAGAGGGCTTTGTCACCAGCGTTCAAATCCAATCATCCACTGGCACCTCTGTCATGGTACCTCTGGCTTTCACTTCCCGGGGTTTACCATGAAACTACAGTGCCTCGCCCCCTGCAGAAGTGACTATAGTCTGCCATAATAAAAGTAAAAGGGAATAAATGTCTTCACAGCATCCGATTCCCCTGATGATCCATGAAGGTCAAAGTGTTCAAAAGCAGAAAAACCCTGTGAAAAAGATACTCCAGCTACTAGTGGTGCTTTTCCATTAAATCCGTCATGGTAAAAGACATCTCTTCAAACTGTACTTTGATCTACTTCGATATTTCAACGAGAAGCGAACTAATTTGATTATTACAATAAGCATTTTGATTTGTCAGCTGATTAGAATTGAGATAAATGAAGCACACTGCTCTATCTCATGCATCATCTTTATCCGTTGTTTCATGCCAATGATTGCTGGGAGGGCCTGCAATCTGAGAATCTGAATCTGAAATTAATTTCAATCTCTCCTTCTTTCATGAGATTGGTTGAAATTCACATCTCACTCTCCGTCAGTTTCTTATCATCTGCAAGGGGAAATCGCCCTGAGGGCACATTCACTGGCGTCCGTTGTGCATGTGGAGTCACAGTGGACTTACTATGAAATGCTCTTTGAGATGCTAAAGTAAGACATTCATTTGAAAAAGAACTTTGTAGTGGAAAAATATTCAAGGTCAGCCACTTTGACTCTGAAATGGCATTAGCATGTATTATCATTTCAAAAAAGAAAAGATATTTCAAACATACTCTCTCCATCGAGTGTCATCAGCACGTCACTGATAAATTCTGTGAATGCAATATTCTCCGTCTGACCTTCAACAGCCATCCCATCGCACACCGAGCTCCCTATCAGTGCTTCCTGAGGTAATTCACTCGCTCAGTTTCACAGTTCAATGGTTCCTACAGCAGAGACAAGCCCTCCA